ATAAGACAGTAATGTGACATCATTTGGTCCTCACCCATGTGGTTCTCTAGAGCCTCAGAAATATGCACCTACAATGCCTAGTGTTTAGGGAGAAGATACTCTACTGTGTAAAAATTTGTAAACTGGGCTCCATTTATGCCAAAAGCTCTTCTTTTCTTAATTTTTTAAAAGTAGAATTTAATTATACTTTTTTCAAAAGACAAAAAAAAAAATCACACATACATGAATTGGAACCTCTTGGATCAGAAAAGGCTCCACGGCATTCTGAAAAGCACAACGCCAGTGCAATATTTTGGTAAGTTGGCACTCACTGCCCCTTCTATGAGAATGGGTTACTTGTAGGGTGAGAGTAAGGAAAAATATAACAAAATAAGCAACTTCCTTACCAGTACCAATAAAACTTCAATTGAAAATTTTCCAATGTGAGCTGTACATAGTAATATATAGTAATGTTTCAAACTCCTCCTAATTTTAGGTATACCGCACGTTACCCTTGGCAATAAGCTTAGAGAGTTTCATGAATCCCAGTATTCTTTGTGTGTGTCCGACATTTCTTTCTCTGCAGCTTTGTTTACAAAGGGGCTTTTCCTTCATTTCTTTTCCCAAACATAAGACAACATTGCTGAGAGGATGGTTGCTATGTTTAAGCTCAAAAATGGTTTTACTATTTAGTGGTGTGTGGGCAATCTTGACAAAACTAAGATCTTTGGGGAGGACTCATACTATGTAAATAGGGTACTTAACTGCAGTTTTTATCATCTTGCCAGAAAAAAAAATCCAGACTTCTTTTCCATATATGTCCATGTTCCCTTTGTTTAAGTTTGGAGTAGCCTTTTGGAAGGTGCTATGCTACAAACACAGCACTGACAATGACTCCTGTGGGCCATTATTACCTTTCTAACAGAACAGCCCAACCAAGTAAGCAAATCAAAACCTTCCTCCACAGATTAAGATTTAGGTTAGTTTCAACCCATCTCTCATTGTTCTCTTAGACTTTCACAAGGAGGAAGAATCACAGACTTTCTTAATAAGGAAACATAAAATGGATTTAAGAATAGGGTGAGAATTAAGATTGTCAGTTTCCAAATATAAGAACTTCACAGTTAATCCCTTATTGTTTCTGCTAATTAACAATGACATGTGGGTTACTGAATCTCCCCAAGAGATTTTACTGCAAGACCAAAGAAAAAATAGGATAGGCTGGAAGTAGAAAGTTCTATACAAAAACAGATGTTTTTGATAAAACAAAGAGATCTGGCAGTAAAATATGTGGGAAAGATATATGCATAGTACTGAACCTGAACTTGTAGCTCAATAAGAGAGCTTGCTCTGTTTCTCCCAGGAAGTCTCCTATTAAACAATGTGGCCTAAATGTGATGTTAAGAAACTGGGGGAAAAAAACAATCTAGGGTCAAAGCACAAATAATTATAGAAAGTAAAGGATCCTCAAGCAGAATAGCTCCTAGTGACAGATTCTTTAAAGTCTTCCTGCAAAAACTATACAGCTTGCTGTTGGGTTTGTGCCAGTGACCCATTTTGAGGGTGCTGTCAAGAGCTTCCTTTTATGTAGCTGCTCTCTACAAGCCAGCGAGGCATTTCCTCCTTTCGCCCTATGTTCATGTTTAGGCTGCTGAGCATCCAAGTTTTATTACTCAAGGACAGCTGCAGGGTCCTTCAGAAGGACGCTAGGAGTGAGGATGGAGACCAGAATAAGGGGCCCAGAGGGCCTGCTAACTGGTGGCATTTAAGAGGACTACCAGCTTAGTCTATAGTAAAGACTGAGTAGTCTGGGAGGTGAATTTTCCCCATGTTGCAGTTACACCCACATACACTGGGGAAATATAAATTAGAGGTTCACTAGCAATATCACAAATGAATAACACGATCACACTGAAGGGGAAGGATAGAACTAACCTGGAAGTAACAATATTTTGGCTGAATAAGGCTGAACATGGAAACAACTATACAAATACTGTACTCTCAGTGGAAAATTTGTTTACATGGCAGCACAGGTTAGCAATTCTTAAACTACTTTTACAGTGTAGCAGGATTAAAAATAAGTAAATAATTTTAGATAGTGTGTTCCCGGTTTCTCATGGTCCAAGAAAAGAGTTAGAAGGAAGGGCTACATTGAAACCTGTGGTGCTGGATTTGAGTTGAAGTTATCGTTATGAACTCATGATCATTTTAATACCTATATATACAAATAGATACAGAAATAAGTTATGAGTAAGGAAGGGGAAGGAGAGCATGGCCTCTGTGCACTGGAACTGGAGGGGTCCACATGAACTCATCTATTTTAATATGTACACAGATAGACACAGAAATTATTATAATGTGTGTGTGAGTTAGTACACATACATATATTTCCCAACTCTGTCGGCTGAGAGGAGCCAGAAATGACCTATTAGTAACAATGAGAACACCTAGTATCCAGATCTTGGTTTTTAAATACTATTCTCAAATAAAAGGAGCCAGGGTTCTGTGTAGAAGTGGTTGATTCCAAGGCTACGTCAGGGAAAATACAAGATGAGCCAGGAATATCTTGTGCCAGAAAGAAAGGAAGTGCTCAAGAAAGGATGAAAGAATACTGAAAGGGCAAAGGAGCCAACCTGAAAGGTCTCTCAAGGACCAAAATGAGAACAATTTGAGTAACAAAGTAAGTAACAATAATAGACTTTAACCCACAGAATACAATAACTATCATGAGCCCATATTGATACAAATAAATGGTTGAATAAGGGAATAAATAAATAACAAAGAAGGGACAGTTTTTCCCTTCTAGAAGAATTTCAACTAATAAATGGAGAAGAAACAAAGGAAAGCAAAATTATTGAACAAATGCCATATTAACAACTATTGTAAGATATTATATATAAATATATGATAAGTCCACCAGTGCATGCTAAAATTAATAGGTGAAAGTTTCAGTTTCACAATATCCTCTATGATTTCCAAAGGGAAAAAACAGTAAATTTAGGGTGGAGAAAGCCACCCTACGTATTAATACTATGTAACCCCTGATGTGGTACACTGAGAAGGGCACAGCATCACTTCCTGCAGTATTCTTACCAAAAAATGCACAATCTCTATCTAAGCAGGAGAAAATGCCAGAAAACCCAAAGTGAGAGACATTCTACAAAACACCTGACCACTGCTCTTAGAGAATGTTAAGGTCATAAAAGACAAGGAAAGACCGAGGAGTTGTCAAGACCTGGAGGAGACTAAGGAGGCACGACAACTAAATGCAACCTGGGATTATGGATTGAGTCCTGGAACAGAAAAAGGACTTGGTGGAAAACCTGGTGACTTTCTAAAAAGGTCTATAGTTTAATTAATGGCATTGTACCAATATTAATTTCCTAGTTGTGATACTTACACTATGCTTACCTAAGATGTTAACACTTGGGGGAGTTAGGTGAAAGGTATTCAGGAATTCTGTGTACTATTTTTGCAACTTTCCTGTATGTCTAAAAATATGTCAAAATAAAAGCTTGAAAACAATATGGGTTTAAATCAAGCAGAATTTGTGTCAGAGGGAGACAATTTATTAATAATTTCTCATTTCCCCTTTTTAAATACATGAGCTGGTCCTTTTAAAACTGAGTATTCTGTTTTAGGTGGGCCGCTGGTTTTTTTGTAAACACACGTAACTAAAATTCATATCTACCAATTGTATCTAAAGCATACATATATTATTCCTTCTTGTAAAGTGAACTTTCATAAAACTTAAAAATTAATCTTATAGGAAACACATCTTATTCATCTCTCATTGGGTGGGCAGTCAGTGCTTGTTGCTCTTTTTCCTTATGACTTCTTGAGATGGCCCTAAGTACTCATTTCCCTTCCCTTTTTCTTTCAGAAATCTGAACTGTTATTGCAGGAGGACACACTAACTCCATCTGTCTCATGAAGGGCACAGCATCAAAGTCTTTGCCAATCTTTCTCAAAATGTTAATCCCAACTTTTAACATTTCCTCCTACCACACTTCCCTCTCTATTTGTAAGGCCAAAACTCTGACCAAAACTCTTGTTTTATATCTGAATAATTACGACGGCTTGAGCGTTGGTCCAAAATGCTACCTGAGATACGTCTTTTTAAAAAAATTGCTGTGACTATTTTAGTTTTTAACTCATACCTTAGTTATCCACATCATATTCAAATGCCTGTTATTAATTTCCAGGCCTTTGTGTCTGTCCTACACTTACCACGCTCCCTCTATCCTCCTGACATTCTCTTTTCTCTTATTAAATCCCACTCATTCATGCATTCATTCCACTTTCACTGAATTTCAGCAATGTTTAAGGCCCTGGGGTGAGTGCTGTAGGAGATACAGAACATACATATTTATCTTTTCTCATCACCTCTCATTTATAAATCTTCCAAGTAATTCCTTTCACCTGAAATGTTTTAAGCACCAAATTCATAGTTATCAATCCCACTTCATTGAAAAACCATCTGCTTAAGTGGCCTGGGGCGGATCCTCACTTGTCAATTAAAATTTTTAATTTTACAAAAAAGTGAAAGTAAAGGAGAAAAGAGTAAAATAAAAGCAGACCATTAAAAGGCAAAGCACAATGTATGTGTATCATTGCTTTATGATCTGAGCTACCAAAAGGCAAGTGACTTTCTGAATAGTTCTTCTGAATAATCCAGAACACGGTGGTCCATAAGACTGACAAAGTGGAAGACAAGCTTTCAAACTGCCAGAGATCTACACTAGTAGTTAAATGCTATTCTGGAAAGGGCCATTTAGGAAGACATCCCTAATTCGTAACCTGACTTCCCTGCATCACACAAATAAAAATAGCTCCTGAACAGGGGATTGGAGCACCACCTATGGCACTAGGCCTGCGGGGCAGCACAGAACAACTGGTGTGGGCAATTTTGGTATGTGTAATGAGGCTCACTTGGGCTTAGCGCTACACTGTCCCATCTCTGATGGAGCTTTGTCATTTATGGTACCAAATGCTGAATAAAGAGACATTACAATTCCTACCTGGTGATTTTCTTTGAAAGTTTGTATTAATAACTCTTTCAGCTGCTTCTTTCTTTCTTTTGCCATTTTTTCTTCATCCAGAAGAATATGAGCACCTTGAAACATGCTTTTTTCTAGATTTTTTGGAGAATTTTCTTCTTGTTTTTTCTTCTCTCTATTAATAACAATTTAAAAATGCATGTATGAAAAACAGACTTAACAATAAGTAATTACAACCTACCACAGTGGAATGAACACTGAATTTTCCACCAGAAGACACATATTTTTAGATCTGGCTCTAAAACTACATAGGGTGATTTTAAAAAAATTTTTTAAACCTTTGCTTATTCCTTTATAAAATACAGATTAAATGAAATAAAATTGTTATAATGCACTCTGAAAAGCAGAAAGCCCTATAGATGTTTTAGTGAAGTACTTTTATTGACTTAAACATTGAGCAATACTATGATCAAAATTTGAGAGTTAACAACTACTAGGTATGCTCTAATATAGACATAAATTCTCTTTCTTATAATAGGAAATAAAGAAGGACCTTCAGGCAAGAAAGCATGAGATTTTTCACCACAGGCTTTTACAAGGTTTCTAGGGAGAAAAATAATAAAAGAATCAAGTGTTAGTAGGGGGAGAATAGGGTTTATAAAAATTCTAAAACAGCTGAAAAGAGAAAAATAGAACTTAATAAGGAAAAGGTTTCAAGCAAGTAACAAGAATCTTTTAATACCTTTGTTGATCATCTTTCTGGTTATCCTCTTTTTCACCCACCTATCTATTCTTTTTCATCCAGGTCATCCCTCTTACACCAATCTAAGCAAGCTCATAGCCACTGTCTCTTATTGGGAGTATATTAAACTATACAGGTCTGTGCATGTGTATAAGGTATATAAATTATCAATGCTATAGTAAAGATAGTACCTAGTCAGGAATCAGAATTCATGGGCTCTAGCCATAAACCAGCTATGAAAACTGAGGGAAGTCACCTAGTCTTTCTAAATTTCACTTTATAGTTGTGGCAACTCAGATGGAGAGAAGGATGCCAGAAAACTCCATATACATTCATTATTCTCAGATATCATACAGGAGGCACACATGGTTTATCTTATTATTCATGATGCTAACCATCACTTGGTTAAGGTAGCTTCTCCAGTGTAAAGTTGTGATTTTTCCTTTTGTAACTAATCTCTTAGAGGAGATACTGTATGAAGTAGATTTAGAATAGCTTATGAATAAATTAAAAAGCCCCTACCCACAATAAAATTTTACCAACTCTTTCCAAACTTACTAATGGCATAACAATATTATGTTAGGTAGTTCTGGTAGGTTACAGTGGCCATGTAAAGAAACAGTTCTAATACCATGGATCTGATTTTTAAAAATAACATTAAAGTATGTATCTGTTGTGAAAGTAATAGCTGCTCATTGTGAAAAACTGGAAAGGTGTTCCATATTTCCACCCAGAAAAAAACACTGGTAACATGTTAGTGCTATTTCATTGTACAACCATTATTTATTAATTTCTCCAATATTTATTAATGCATATTATAAGTAATATTGTTTTAATTATTTTTGTGCACAAATCTGTCTAAATTTCTGATAATTTTCTTAGGGCAGTTTTCCTAGGAGTGGAATTCCCAGGTCAAGTGATAATACAATTTTTATGGCTCTTGTTTATAGCTAAATTGCTTTCAGAAACATTTAAGGTCAGTTCATCCACCTAGAAGTAGAGCATATTATCTGTCTCACCATGGATAAGATTTTAAACTTTTAAAAAAGAAATGAGTGGTCAATGAACTTTTGTTGAGTGCCCACTGTGAGCAGGGCAACCTGCTACCATCTAATGTTACTTGTTTTCACAATACTTTAGGTCAGCCTACATTTCTCAGGGCTTGAGAGCAATATGAAAAGCAAGGTTGACCTTAGTGAGAACTCACTAAAACACTGGTGATTGCTTTCTAAAAGAACAGTGTCTGAGGAGGCCTGAGCCTGGCACTTGAAAGAGCGAAGCGCACGTCCACTGCTGAGCTGTTGTAAATTGGGTAGAATAAGAGCAATCAAGAACACGGAGAAAAGCTGTGTAGGCTGATTATCTAACGGTTCTTTCTGGCCTCTCAGTTTGAGTATTCAGTCACTTCAGGCACTTGTTCCAAGGCTCTTGCAGTTCATGCGTAAGTTCTGTTTCTTGGAATAAATACATTAGTTATTTCATTTACAAAGCTCATTTTCTGCATGGGATCCATAACAGTACTACATCCTGTGAGGGCTATTTTGAATTTCAGTGGCAGTAAAGCAATGGTGACCTTCCATATGCTTATCAGAAAATAAGACACTAAGGCAATATTCACCATAGGATGAGGCACAATTAGCAAACATGCATGAAAAAACATGTTGAAGCTTAAAAATACTCAAGTAACCAAAAAAATGCATACTAACCAACATAATACCTATTAAGAGTACAAAAGTATTGAAAATGATGATAATTCCAATGCTGAACAGAGTGTGGTAAATTGGCTCACCATAAGCAACAGTGTAAATAAGTACAACCCACTTGGAAACCAGTTTGGTGATGTTTCCAGAGTCAGAAAAGGCCTATACCATTTAGCTCAGTAATTATACTCCTAAACCTACAACTCAAAAGAATGAAAAAGCCCTATGCTTAAGAATATTCACTGCACTACTGTATTGGTGAAAACTCTGAAATAGCTGAAATGCTTATCAGTATGAGGAAGGGAGGTCATTACATAAACTACCATATAGGAACTCAATGGTGTGATATACTGACCTCTGGACTCTAGGCAATTACTCTGGTAATTACAACAAACAGAGTAACAAATTAAATGTACTTTATCATTGCAATTAGGTATATAAAGGGAACAAGACCATGGAAAAATGAAAATAGTTCATGTGTTAAGATGGTAGAATAGTGGGTGATTTGTCTTTTGTGTTTTGTTATTGCAATGTTTGTGCATTCTTAAAAACTTTACTTTCAAAATGACTGATTAAACAAAACAACTGCACCCTGTTCCTCACGGCTGTCTTACATTTTCCATGCTTCCTCCACAGTGCGTCTCCTCTCAATGATCTCCTTCCGCAGCTTTACCATCTCCCTTTGAATCTCCTCCTCCTCTTTCTTGGCCTCCAGAGCCTTCCTTTTCTTTTCCTCTTGCACCAGATACTGAGCCTCTAAGAAGGCCGACTTTTTCAGGGTCTTTTCAATTCTCTGGCACTCTAGTTCTTTTTCACGTCTTAAGCGATTTTCTTTTACCTTTTTAAAGAGAATACAAAGGTGAAATGCCTTTACAGTAAAAAAGGAATATGCAAAACCTGAGAACATATTTTGAAGTTCAGAATGCACCCTTTTCGAAACATACTGGTCTAGAACTCCACCATTTATCAGAAGATAGGGGTAATTTCTTTGTTTACTGGGTAAGGGCCAATACAAAATTTTAGATGAAATCAGGTAAGATGATTCCCAATTTGGGAATAATCTTCACCACGGAAAAGGTGAAAATCTAATGGGTCAGATGTCAAGTTCTAGATTCTTATTTAGTAGTGATTTCCTACCCATAAGATTTTCCAAGGTATTCACGATTGCTATTTATTTAGACCTTGTCTGCATGCTAATTATATTTAAGAAAAAGTAAGAGTATTTTGGGAAGGCTATCTTGTGAAGGCTAGAACAGTGATTTATTGCTTTAAAACACAACCTTTTATTGGTTTCTATCCTTATTTAAATATGTCAATGATCTGGATATTTGGAAATCAAACCATGACCTTCACAGATATTTCTCAATAAACACAGCTTTTCTCAAACCTATTAATTTTTTAGAAGCTTGACTAGCTATGAGTTAAGGAGTGGTCCTTTCCTTCCTGCTTCACTTTTTACCTTTACCTTACTCTCCAGTAATGATAAGACTTCTAGATAATGGCTATCTCTTATGGAACCTTTTCTCCTTTTACCACAAATAGAAACCAAGATCGTACTGCTACCCTAGTTTCTCTAACATCCCAGTGCTGATCAGGCACACCTTGATGTTATAAAGCAATCAGAAATTCAGTGTTATAAAGAGATAACATACACATGTATAGACCTCAATTTTTGTTCAGTCTTAGTTATGGACATGTAGAAAAGACTTGGTCATTCTGATTTTCTGAAGCTCCTCAAAAAGTGTTGAGATGTATCTTTTTCCTATAACTTACTATTTCCTTTGGAGAAAAGAAAGTTCCCATATGCCTTTCTCATTCAAAACAGCTGAACTAGATTTAATTCAGAATTGTCCTCTCTCTCAAATTATAATCACAAAATGAGGGAATTTTTCAGTTGTCTATAAAAGAATTATCATTATAATATTCACTAGAATATTCATGATATTAATATATTGATGTCACAATTCAAAGATCAAATTTAGGCAAAACCCAATCTACATACTTATAAGAGGAAGTGCCACATCCAAAGTAATAACATTCAGCTCACCACTCTATTGTCAAAGTCAATTATTCCTTTTTTTGGTTTTCTGAAATAAATTGTTTCCTATCCTCAGTTTATAAGCATTATTTTTCTTCTGAAGTTCTTATATTTTTATTCTTTCTAACCAAACCACAGATGGCACCCTTTTTCATAATAAGGCTAAGTCTTTATTTAAGCTTATTAAATGTGTTACACTAAGATTGCTTCCTGTTATCCATTTTAATTTTGTTTTTCCCTCCCACCTGCTTATGTCTCATCTCCATGGTAAGACGAGGATCCTTCTGCTGCTTCTTGTCTTGGTCCCCATTCATTTCAAGATCTTCCAATATCCCAGAATCCATCACATCTTTATGCAGCAGATGGTCTATAAATTTTTGAACGGCAGTACTTTCTTCTTCTTCCTCTAAATAGCCACATAAATCTGGGGAAACAGAACAACAACAAAAGGAAAATTTTAAAAAAGTATTATTTTCACATTTATGTAAATAATCCTCACATAATAAAAATACAAAGTTGTGAGTATTCAGTAGTAACTGAAAATGCCAATTGGATGAATATAGCCCTCAGTAATTACCTTCAACAAAGAGGAAAAAACTCTACTTAAGAGGAATTGCCCTCATCCAAGTCACTAAAGACTCCCTCACTGCCAAATTTAAAAGGTATTACTTCAATCTAAACATCCTTGAGGACTCCATTGCTTTTTAAAAACAAAAAAAAGGTTTTATTGCAGTATAAATCACATACAATAAACTGTAAATATTTAACGTCTACAATAAGTTTGACATACACATGTACAACAGTAAGACCATCACTATAATCAAGATAACGAACACGTCTGTTAGCCCCAAAAGGGTCCCGTGCTGATCTGTGATCTCTTCCTCGCACTCCTCCCCCTGTTCTCTGCCCAGTCCCAGGCAACCACAGACCTGCTTTTTGTCATTATGGATTGGTTAACATTTTCTAGAATTTCATATCAGTTAAATTATATACTATGTACTTTGTCTTGGTCAATCTTCTTTTACTCAGCATAAATATTTGGGAGATTCATCCATGTTGTTACATCAATTGTTCATCCCTTATTGCTGAATAGTAGCCCACTGTATGTGTATATCACAAATTGTTCACTCATTCATCTCTGGATAGACATTTGGATTGTTTCTAGGTTTTAGCTATTACAAATAAGTTATGAACATTTGTGTACAAGTCTCTGTATAAGTATATGCTTTCTTTTCTCTTGGGAAAATGCGGAGGAGGTTGCATCATGTAAGTACATATGTAACTTAAAAAAAAACTGTCAAACTGTTTTTCAAAGTGATTATACAATTTTACATTCTGACCACCAGCATAGAAGTGTTCCAGTTCCTCCACATCCTCACTAATATTTGGTATGTTCAGTCTTCTAAGTCACTTTAAAAGGCATATGATAGGTATTTATAGTAGTTTTAATTTGCATTTTCTAATGGCTAGTGATTTTGAGTATCTTCCTTGTTGATGTTCTGTTTAGTTTCATATATTATTGAAAATAGGGTAATGAAATATTCAGCTGTCATTGCTGAATTATCTATTTCTCCCTTAAATTTTGTCAGTTTTTGTTTCACATATTTTGGGGCTCTTTGTGAGGTGTATATTTATTCATGTTCTGTTTTCTTGATGGATTAACCCTTTTATCATTATAAAATGCTCTTCTTTGTCTCTAGTAACAATCTCTTAAAGTCTACTTTTTCTGATAATTAGTAAGCGCTTTTCTTTCTCTTGGTTTCTGTTTGCATGGT